CGCCCATGAACAACCGTAACATCTGGGGAATTGAAGGTGCGTTGCCGGCGTTTTAGAAAGGATTAAGCTCTATCTTGAAGGTCCCTAAGTCGTGTCGGTCGGAAAAATTGCCGGTGGTAAACAATTCCACAGAGAAGTTTTGCGAAGAAGAAAACTCCTAATAAAATGCACAGTCGTGGCCTGTCAAGCATCCAGATGGTAAGGATGGTATCGTGAAGTTTGACGCGATGTGCGTTCGTGAAATTTGGCGGCTGAGATTAAACCGAACCTCAGAGCACTCCCCGTGGTAGATGCGATAGAAAATGCAAAGGGATGCAACATCCCTACGCTGTGCCAGAGAGCCAATCAAAAATAACGCGGACGTCGATGATTCGAAACGCTCTGCGCTGGATGCGGACAAATGCTGGCACTGGGGTGCCCCGGCCCAGTGATTAAAACAGTATTCCATGTGAGGACGAATTTGCGCTTTGTAAAGTTACAAGCGATGTTTCTACGTGAAATACTGTCCCGCTCTGCTGAGCACGCTAAGTTTTTTAGATGCCAAATCGGCCTTCCCTTCCAAGTGACCACAAAACTGCACACTATTCAATATGTAGATGCCGTGGATTCAGATGCTAGTTGAGGCAGCAAGGGGAGTGCCTTAAAACTGACGAGATACGACAAAGGGGTTCTTTTTTGTGGTAAATATGCTAACTTGTGTCTTCTGGGGATTGAACTGGAACTAGATTTAGCCGTCCTCAATCCGAGACTTTGTTTAGCAAAGACTCGACTTCAGACACAAGTTTGTCCCGGTACTCTGAGACGTTATCCCGAGAAATATTGGCACTGTCGGTGTATATTACATCACCAGTGCTCTCGTTGTTACCAGTTTGCAACATATCATTGATTTTTTTTTATAGGATAGGGTGACAAACAAGCACACAGTCTACCTGATGGTAAGTGGCTACTGTGACCCATAGACATCTACATCTATCATCAATAAAGACTCAAGATGCAGATGCGTTGCCACCCGTGAGGACTAAGATGGAATGCCTCTTTGCCAGTAATAAGGGTCTCCGGTTCTCTACACTCACCGTACGAAACACAGCAGCATTAAGCTGCTATTTTACGCTGGTTTTCTGGAAGAACGTGGTTCTTCCCCGGTCGAGCCGACCCATTCGTGCTACAACTATACTACTAATATAGCCGCAGCATGGCTCTACCACGTGAAAAGACAGATATGCAGTAGAAACAGCATTGGTGATAGCACGCAGCCTTGTTGAACACCAGCCTTAATAGGCTTGTAATCAGAGCATGCACCGTCTAAGACCTTGATGAACCGAACAGCAAGGAAACTGGTGATCCAATTGCACAAATTTTCGGGAAGCCCATAGGAAGGGACTTTCGAAATAATCGCTTTGTGCCGGGCCCGATCGAAGGCCTTCGCTATGACCAAACTAACGGCCAATGCCTCCCCCTTGAACTCTACTGCCTTCGCCCATCGATGAGTTAGGTAGACCAGAAGATCACCAGCTGATCAACCCCAACGAAAACTGTTTATCATGGATTCCATTATTTTGGAGAACAAGAAGGTGACGGCGATAGGCCTGTAGTTGGACGCGTCTGAGCGGTTGCCTTTTTAGGGATCGGGTGAACCAAAGCGGTCTTCCATGAATTCAGGGGTGACGTCTTAGGAGTAGAAGTACCGGAAAAGACGCGTTAAAACCGGTGCTAACTCCGGAGCACACGTCTTCAGCACAATGGGAGGGACTCCATCGGGCCCACTCGACTTGCTGACGTCCAGGGAGAAAAGTGCTTTACGAACCGAGCGCTGTGTAAACCGGACATCTGGCATGGAGCACTCAAACCGCGGGATGGTTGGCGGTGTGTTCCTCCCGTCATCGAGAGTCGAGTTGGACGCAAAGAGATCGGCTTCTTCCTTTGCGGCATGGACCAGTGAGTCGACCTCCCTGTGCAGAGCCTTGGCAAGAGACCAGAATGCGCAACTTACCGAAGGAAGGTGAACTAGCTTCTTGCCAATTCCTTGCCTTGGCAATGACTTTTGAAGAACCTGAAGGCGGAATTATACTTCTTTTGAATAACGCTGGTGTTTACATCCCGAGACACGGCTGACGGCTCCGTGGCGCAGTGGCTTTGCAATGAGTTGCAGCGCTAAGGGCCGCGGGTTCGAATTCCGCACAGAACAAGTATTTGTATGGCCTACAAATAATTGTTCTAGGTCTGGATGTTCGTCTTTGTAAAATTTATGTATGTAAACTGCCCCCGCGATACAGAAGAAAATCCTAGTGTGGAGGTAACGTTTTTAAAAAAAAAGACATCAACGTCTCAGGATGTATAGTTGTCGTCAGCCCATGCCTGTTAGCACTCCTGCTTATAATGTGATGCTATTTTTCATGAGCGACCAAACCATGACTGAAATCTGCGTCCGATGGACACCACAGAAGATGGAATAAAAAGTTCCATATCCTGAAGTACGAAGCGAAGCGACGATAGTGTGAGTGGCACTACCCTCCGGACAAGACAATGGCCCTAGGAGTCATGAGGAGTGTCGACGGAAACCTGATATCTGTCCGGATGAGGGGTCAGCAGAAGTTCCAATAGGGAAGGTACATGATCCTCCACATCTGGAATCCGCGTAGGCAAAGTAACCAGCTGTGTAAAACTATATGCCAAGGAAAAGTCATTAACAAATCTCCCCTTCATGATCAGTTAAATGTAAACCGAGCCATTCGGCGTGATGGGCGTCAAAAGCGCCTATCATAATCTGATAGGATCTTTTCCCACCCCCCACTCCCCAGAATACGCAGAGCAGGTCGAGCTCCCATGCTCAGGAACGATAGTTTGGGTAGTGTAGTTTGGGCGTGGGTGCTCAGGGAAGGATTCTCCGTCACCAGAATGCTGGTACCCTCCTGGGGTAGCTTTTTATTTAAATCCGTTACCATATTTTAAGAGGGGGGGAGGGGGATTGGGTCTCCGACCACCCTACACTTACCAAGCGAAACGCAGAAGTAAACTTCTACTTCATGCTGATATTCCGTGAGGTCGTGGTCGTGGCGATAGCAAAAGACAAAAACGAAAAAAAAAAAGACATACAGTCGAATTGAGTAGGTACCGTCTCCTTTTTGAAGTCGGTAGAAAAGTAGTATCTATTGGATGACTGGTTCTAATATATTAAAAGTTAGTTGAATAGGAACATAAAGCACATTATAACGTCAATGTTACCTTAACAACATTATGACAAAACATGAACCATAAGTATTCCCGGTATTACAACGGAGACCATCTCGGATCAAGCGTAAGCGTGGGCATAGATTGCTGAATTGTGTCTGGAAGACGGGTGGTTCTTCGTAGGTATACTGACAACTGTTCGTTAGCTTAATGTTCTAGAGTAAGAATTAGGATAGTCTTAGTTAGGCTCCCGCATATATCGAACATATAGTTTTAAGTAGTATTAATTAATGTATCGCACATTATTAGTCTTAAGTTTAAAATAAAGTCTTTTTAGGAACGTCCTTGAGCAATTGCGAATCTTGACTAGCGCAGATGGTAGGATTTCGTGCGTTAACTTTCATATATGATGCTAAGCTTGTTTATATAAGAAGAATCGCAAATCAGTCCTCGTAGAGCAATTTGCGATGCCGTCTTCGTTTGCACGGAATCCACAAACCGAAATAAATGTGTTAAATTGGAACCAGTACATCTCAAAAAAGACTTCCTAGCCCCAGCAGAGGGATGAGTTCGAGTGTACTGTGAGTAAACCTTTACACGTCTATCTCTATACTCATCTATTTTTGCTTGCTTGTATTTTTTTTTCTTAAATCAAACAAAGTAATTTTTACATATTCGTCTCGTTTGCGAATCAAAATGCAGATGCGTTGTCACCCGTGAGGACTAAGATGGAACGCCTCTTTTCAAGTAAAATGTGTCTCCGATTCTCTACACATATCATACGATACACAGCAGCATTAAGCTGCCATTTTACGCTGGTATTCTGTGAGAGTGTGGTCCTTCCCCGGTCGAGCCGACCCATTCGTGCTACATTTATAATATTAATATAGCTGCAGCATGGCTCTACCACGTACAAAATGGTTATACAGGTTAAAGGTTAATGATAACGATACATAAAATCAAATTTTTCTTCATTTTCAGGCACTAGTTTACTCCTTTTCTCATCGTAGACAATCCCAGCTTCAGACAATAAACGATCTGAAGAATAAACACTACTTCTTTCCCGGCCGAACACTTTTGTCTAATATTCGCCTTTTCGACCAGGAAATCCGCAGAATATTCGATATTCGGCGTATGGCCCAATATATCATTCGTTGCAAATCTAATTTTAATCGTATTTAGAAATACATGCACAACAGTGTTCTTAAGTAGAAAACAACTTTATACCGTGAAATGTGATGATATTATCTAAACTTCTGGCAATGTTACGTAATCATTCACGAGATCAATCCCTCAAGTCACAGAACATTTTCCTAATTACAGCATCTTAAGGAACTGATCTTAGTAACTGAGATACTCTTTGTGTTTATTAATTAGCAACGATCTTAAGATGCTGATGTCAATGTGGCGTATCAATTCGTCGAAATGACTGAAAGACAGCGTGAGTGGAGTGTACACACACTCACAATCGGTGCGAGCTTCGATATCGATCGAATCGAGCGACTTTGACAGAGAGCGGGCGTACTCACAATCGTTGTGAGACTTTTTGACTTTCACGAAGAGCGGGCGATACATCCCAAGGTGAAACAAGCGCTTCCATCTACACTCCCAGGCCCGATCTCGGCGTGTCACGCCGAAAGGGCACAGCCGCCATTTCATTATTATTATTTTAATTGCTTAATAAGTACTTAGGTCTAACTGCCATTAGTACAAATGTGTAGGTGTCGTATCTGTGGATAATACTAGGTAAAAAATAACACAAATGCCGTTATATAGAAATATTTATTATATACAAAATTGTTAAACGCATTCACTGTTAGTAAAATTTACTATTAGACACATATTTCGATACTTCCCAATTTCAGCTTCAGAATAACAGGGTTGCCTTTCACACGTAGTGTGAGTGACGTATTGGAGTTACTGTAAACATAAACTCAAACGCTTAATAACCGTTTCATACTTCGCGTATCTAAAGCCGCCTCCATACGCTTAGCAAACAACGGCAAACACCAAACACCAAACAACAAACACGAACGTGTGGATGGTTATTTGCCTGTTTGTTTGTTTGTTTTTTTTGTTTGTGATTGCCAGTGATCGGCGTTGGTGTCGGTTTTTGTGCACCAATCAAAGAGTGTTCGACAAACATGTTTGCGATGTATCCACACGCTTGGCAATCAGTCAGTACTCAGTAGTACGCGCGAGCTTGCGGGCGGCGGAAGGAGTTACCAGTAGCTATTATTATACTCTACGCCAGTGTTACAAATCCGAAATTTGTCTCGGAGGTAAATATGATTTCAGAAGTTGATAGTTTCCTACCAATTCTACTTCGAAAAGTTAGTAGATCTAACACCTATATTTTTTAAGGTTTCTAGAGAGCTCCCAAAAATATTAATATACTCTTAATGAAACTGAAACACTGAAAATCAGCGTTAGGAATTGATGTATGTATATCTTCAATTCGTGACTTAAAGCTGAGTGGAGACCATTTTGGTGCATGTTATGTTTCTTTTATTCCTTTTTTTATATTTTTGTTAAGTTAAAAAAAACTATTTTATTTGATTTATTTTTGTTTGTTATAATTTATGTGCCAAATAAACTTATTTCTTTCCTTCTTTCTTTAATTAATGTTTCTATTGGGTAACAAATATTTCACCTCCTTTTATTAGTAACCCCATGTGAAAGCAGGATCATTGATCATCAATTCCCAAAATAAAATTCGAAAAAAAATTGAAAATTGAAAAAGGAATCACGATAAATATAGTATATCCTAATTTAATAGTTTTTTGAGTTCCGTAGTGTTCGCTACTCGCTTAAAAATAGCTTATTATTTAATCCCTTTCGAAAAATTTATTAAATTAAATTAATTTAAATTAAAATTGTTCAAGGCACTTCAATAAAAAATTTGACGGCTCCGTGGCGCAGTGGCTCAGCAATGAGTTGCTGCGCTGGGGGGCGCGGGTTCGAATCACGCACGGAACAAGTATTTGTATGGCCTACAAATGATTGTTCCGGGTCTGGATGTTTGTCCTTGTGAAATTTGTGTTTGTAAACTGCCTCCACGATACAGGAGAAAATCCTAGTGTGGGGGTAACGTTTTATAAAAAAAAAATCTAGGTTAAAAGTTAATAGATTCAATATAATGTCGAAAGAATTCGGGGTTCGATTCCCCGGTCGTGCGTTGATTTCATGAAAGTTTGTTTTTAGATTAATTTAGAGTCATGTGTTACATAGTAATCGACTGTGCAATACTGTGTACAATACTAACGACTGTTGCTCCCGAACCTAACGTTGTGTGATTTCAGTTACGAAGTAGAACATCTATGAAAGACTAATTTGGCACTCTATTAATCTCGCCTACAAAACTGTGAAATAAAATCTTAACTTCTCATACAAGTAAATGAAGGATGATTTTTTTTACCTGTCTATTCCATCATGTGGGGTATCGTTGGATAGGTCTTTCAAAAACATTGCGGGTATTTAACAACATCTTTTCGATTCAGGGATCCGTTTGCGAAATATTTAACTTTAAAGTGCTATTGCCTTACTTTTATTAAAAAATAGGTCAACCCGAAAGTAATCGCTACCACAAACTCGTCGTCCGTCATGTTTGCCCATCCGGAATATACTAGCACGTACGCCGAGCGTGTGGATGCCGTGTTTGTGTTGGGTGAATGAGGTCGGTGTTTGTTCGTGTATTGTGTTTGTGACAAACACCAAGTATTTGGAGGCGGCATTATATAACAACGCCTTCAGAGTAGTGTTGAGACTGCCACGCTGCTGCAGCACATCAGAGGTACTCGTATTCTCCAATGCACAGACGGCGGGCTTCTACAGCATGTGCGCAAAAGTACAATCCCTTTTTCTATTTTTTATGTAGGTATTTATTTTATTTTATTGATATATATGTGTATTTATCATTTTCATTTATATATTTATAAAGCCCAACCAGATGAGAAAACTACCAAAATAACCCAAAATAATATAAAATAATAATAAACATTTATTCATTACCACCAATAAGGGTCTTTCAGACAGATGACCTTCACGCGTGCCAGCGTTCCGCGTTCACGTTCTACGTTCGTTATGTTCTGATACGTTATATCAGATATACATGCCCAGGCAGCATGCGCTCTAACCGCATCGGTCAACCAGAACGCACGCGTTCGCACGTTCACTGCTGTTTCGGTGTCTACATCGGAAGGAAGATGGAGATCGAGAATTTGAATATGTTAGTACGGGGAAGCTGTTTTTTATATGATGTGAAGAATGATGATTATAAAAGCCGAGTAAAAGTAGCAGAAACATGGTTAAAAATTGCCAGAGAAAAAAATAATTATAAAAAATTTCTTCATCAGTAAGCCATTTACAAAGTAGTCTATGAAATTCTCCATCTTGTTCTCTATTCTTATTTACTGGTCGCACCCAATGTTTCCGTTTCCGTTTTGATGCTGCTAATGCCCACAATATCAATAATTCGTCTTTCGATGAAGAATTATAGTCAAAAAACATGGTGGCTGTAGTAGTAACGCGTAGACCGTCTAACAACGCGATTTATGAGCAACTTAACGATGGAACGCAGAACGCGAACGCAGAACGCGAACGCAGAACGCTTGAACGCGTGACCGCGTCCTGTCTAATAGCACCCTAAAGTTACAAAGGGTAATACACACAGAAATAACCAAAATCACGTAGTGTAATAATGAATGGGCTCTAGCTCAGCATAAATGTTGCAGTTGCCTACAACGCTGTTATTCTGCATGCGCCCAACATATGAAGAGTACGCGCGCATCCCTGCTCATATTGCATTTAATCTAAACTGTTCACATTAGGGTACAAACCGTGGATTCCCGAGTATTAACCAGTTCAAACTAGTCATTAATACATATATTTTTATTGTCATTATTTATTTATTTTTTACATATTTTTTTAATAATTATTACAACCATATAAATATTAGAAAGATAAAGAAAGAGATAATATAAGAAATATGAAGTATAAAATAATTTTGATTTTAATGAGCCTAAATTATTTAATCTTATATAAGTTGTTTTCCCACCTACTAGCTATATTTATTTATGTTTGTTAAGTAAATGTTAATAAAGTAAAAATAATCCGATGATGACAGTATCCGTTCTCTTAGTAAGTGACGTTTATAATTATATTTAAGCTAGTTTTACTTATCATAGTGCGAAGTGGTGGTGGGATAGTATGATATTACGTACCCATTGCATTCCTCGATGTTGAATTCCACGGTTGTGATTGATTTCGCTTCCAATTTCACGGCAGCCTCGCGGTTGTTTATCTTAACGCCTACGGTGGCATCGTTGACACTACTACAAAGTAAAAAATTATAAAGATTTTAATTGTCGTCATCACACAATAATCTTTTTAGTAAATCCTTTTAGAGGAAGTGTACAATAAGCATGCTCGGACATAAAAAGAGAAATACCCTCGTACTAGTAATGGTACTACCCAAAACGTTCACTAACAGTTTTTGTATGTGAACGTTATCAACTAATAGAAATATCCCCTAATGTCAATTAAGATACTTCGTACGAGCTGTCCAAGAGGAAACATCATCTCAATTAACATGTTATAAATATATTTTTGAATAAAAATCGGACAAAATTTCGAATCATTAACAAAAGAAACTAATGTGAACTATATGATATATTAATCGATGTATTGAGTGGAGTGGCAGCGTAAGAGAAGAGACTCCTTATTATCCCATGAGTATCGTAAGAGTCGACAGAGTGAAATGAAACAGGGGATGGTCTGCAGCATCTTCTTATAACCACTCTAAACAAAAAACTTCTTTAATCTTTAGTATGTTTAATAAAACTGAAGTGACAATTAAACTAACAGCCCACCAAATTTTAAGTGGCTACAACAGTCCATGGACATCTGCAGCCAACTGCAAAACAAGGAAACCTACAGATGCGTCGTACCTCTAAGAACTATGATGGAACGCCTCACAGTCTCTAATGGGACGTAGTTATGCAAAAAGGATCCAACCCGCGATAAGTTAATTTGAATTAATGGTATTTGAAGTATCCATATTTCAAATGTCATAAACTCAAATTATCGGTATGGTTTCAGTCTGTTTGTAATTTTTCTTCTTATTTGTGTTACTTTTGCTAAAATTGTTATGTCACATAATATTAAAGACCACAAACATTATTTTTCAAGTCAACATTGTTGACACAAACTCGGGTTGGATCTTTTTTGCATAACCACGTCCAATTATACAGAGCCAGTATACCCTTCAGATCGGAACACAGCAGTGCACCACTGCTGCTTGGCAGGGATAGGTAAGTGGGTGATACTTACTGAAACTAATTTGAAAACCAGCGTAAAATAGCAGCTTAACGCTGCTGTGTTTCGTATGGTGAGTGTAGAGAACCGGAGACCCCTTTTACTGGCAAACTGTCCTCACGGGTGACAACGCATCTGCATCTTGAGTCTTTATTGAGGATAGATGTAGATGTCTATGGGTCACAGTAACCACTTACCATCAGGTGGACTGTGTGCTCGTTTGTCACCCTATTCTATACAAAAAAACGGATTCCTAGGTATAACAGAAGTCCTACCACTCAAAATTGTACTTAAAATAGGAATTGTAAGAAGTGCATATCGGGATTATTAACTTATTTGAGCATTTACGCTGAAATATTGGTCGATACCAACCACAACATTTGAATATAAAAATATATATTACTCATTATAAATCAAAAGGACGACGGTGTTCTGTGGCGTCAAAAATGCAACTTCGTCGATATATTTGGATGAACGCTTCTGCTCCACCCTGATCCTTCTAGAACCACGTGGAATGAACTTCGAGAAATGCCCCATCGCGTAGAACATTGGTTGCTTAAGAAATTCCCCTTTTTTTGCGTCCACAATTATGGGAGAGTCCACATGACCCCCTGTCCAGTTTGGACCTCCATTTTTGTCTAGACAGAAATTCCAGTCCATCCATCCAATTACATTGTTGTTCAAATCCTGCACATAAATAAATTAAAATTAAAATTAAGGGGATGAATCGCTCGCGTTATTAGACTTCGACCACCTAACCCTAGGCCCACCCTACACGTGTCCTCTAGTATTGCTAAACGAGCGACAAAGCTGAAAGAACAGAATCGGCTCGTCGCTGTATGGTACTGGCGTAAAATTTGCCACCCGAACCATGAGGCAGGAAATAAAAGAAATGACCCCAAGTTCCCTGCGTCTCTTTAGTGGAGCAGGGGTGCGAATAACATCAAAAAGTAAAACCGGCGACGAGGTTCGCCACCCGCCAAGTTCTGTCTCCCGAAGGGCCGAAAAGTTGATTGCGGAAGCCTGAATGTATGTGGAGCAATTAATGATAACATGGATGAAATATGCGAAATGATGTATAATAGAGGAATAGATGTGTTTTGTGTAAATAAAAAAGATACAGAAAGAAATGCAGTCCGTCGAATCCCAGACTTTTCCAGTTCGGGGCCCTACGGCCTTATTATTATTGGAGTATTAATGAACCGGCCATATAGCTCGAAGAACCGACAACCGATGGGGAAAAAGTCTCTCAAGTGGCGGCTTCGTACCGGCGGACGATGTGTAGGGCATTATCCCACTAGATGGAGTGACGGAGTGATGGTTAGACACGCAGAAAGTCGATGGATGCAGGTGGCTCAGGACCGTGGTTTGTGGCATTCTTTGGGGGAGGCCTATGTTCAGCAGTGGACTTGTGATGGTCCGACCCACAAACTGGTCATAATAATGATCCAGAGGCTCTTCTTTCAGTTTATTTTCAATTATTGTTACTGTGAGGGGCTGTAATGATGACGATGATGTGTATGATGACTTAGACTTGTAGACTGTATAGGATAATATTAAAAAACGAATTAAAGGAAAAATGATACGTTATTGTGGAATTATTGGGTACGGATGGAAGTGGAAGGAAAGAAGAGAGCATGGTTAGATTTACTAGCAACCAATGATAGTAATTCTGTTAATATGGATGATGAGAATGAAAGAAAAATGCAGTCTTTAGAAGTCTAAATAATAGAGTAAAAGAAGTAGTTGATAGGAAAAAGCAAGAAAAAACGGACCAGAATGATAGAAGAACGTCTGATTAATTCTAGGCAGACATTAAAATGTTCTGGAAAGTCAAAGAACTGCTAGGGGGAAATTCAAAACATCATAGATTAAATGGTTGATGAGAGAGAGATATAAAACAAGAACGACAGTATTTTGAATGAAGAAAGTGGAAGGAATACTTTGAAAGCGTGTTTATGAGTGAGGAGACGTTTGAATTGAATGAACTAGAAATTCTGAAAGAAGAGGAAAGAAGAAGGGAGATAAGTATAGATGAAATAATGAAAACAATAAAAAGCATGAAAGTATGTAAGATGAGAATGATAGAGTATCACTCGAAATGCTAAGGGCTGGAGAGGGAGTGGGAGCAAACCTGCTGTGCATATTATTTAATGATGCAAAGCCGTTATACTTCCAATATATAAGGGCAAAGGGACACAGCAGGACTTTAAAGTGCCGTGGCGTTAGCTTGCTTAGCATTGTGGAAAAACTGTTATAAGGTGTAGATTGAAAGAGTTATGAAAGAAACTGACGGAAAATTGGGGATGTACAAGCTGGATTTAGAAAGAGGATTGCGGGGAAGCTTTTGGCCAAAAACCAAAAAATTTTTTGTGCGTTCATGGATACGAAAAGGCTTACGACAGAGTGGACGGGGATGTGTTGTGGCAAACACTGGACTAATTTGGGTTGTGCACTGGCTTGATACGGGCAATAAAGCTTCTATATAGGGACTCTAGTGCTTGTATCAGGATTACTCGGACTGATTTGGCATCCATAAAGGTGTCAGATAGAGCTGTATAGCTTCCACTTGACTGTTCAACCTATATATGTACAGTTGTTTGGATACTTTGAAAGTTGACGAATAAACTTTGAAAGTTTAAGAATTTGGGTAAAGAATAGTGAATTAACCATCATGTGCCTTTTCTGCGCCGACCATTAAGTCATAATTGCGTCTTTGATGGTCGAGTTCCAATGATGGTTACATTAATCAATAAGTCATTAAAAGAAAGGGGAATGAAAGTGAATATAAGTAAGACGAAAGTGATGGTTTTTGAAATAGAAGAAAGTAAAACAATATGTGAAGTAAGAATAGAAGGGGAGTTGGTTGAGCAAGTGGATGAATTTCTTTATTTGGGATGTGTATTTATTAAAGATGGTAGACACGATAAAGATATAGAAAGACGAGTGAATGCAGAAAATAGAGTAAATGGGGCTCTACACATTATTGGGAGAAGTCAGAAAATACCAAAAAAGGCACGTACGGCAAATCACAATGCTGTGTCGGTCCCTACCTTAAAGTATGTTAGTCAAAGTTGGGTGTGGCAGAAAAATCACGAAAGTAGGGTAAATGCTGTAGAAATGCGGTTATTAAGGAGTATATAAGGGCTGAATCTCAATGACGACAGGGTGAGAAATTGTGTGATAAGAGAAAAGTGTAGTTTGCAAGATGATGTTATGACCACGATTAAGAAAAGAATACTTCGGTGGTTTGGTCACGTAGAAAGTAACGAAAAAAGATTGACAAAGCAAAAATATATTGCAGAAGTGAATGGCAGACTTGGGAAGGGACGCCTTAGATGAAAATTTATCGACCAATTTTTTTTTGTACGAGCAGCTATGCAGGTGTAGAGTGACCTAATCACTGCGACCTAAAATATCTATTGTGATCGCTGCTATGTTTACAGTTCACTGCTAAACCCTACGTTCTCAATGAATAGAAGAAGTTGCTTAGCTGTGAGTAATTTCACTTCTTCTTGGCGAAGTATATAGTTTCCCAAATGAGTGCTGCATTTGCGTATTAAGTGTGTGTGTCCAGTCATGGCTCTTATCAAATTGCGCACTTTATTTTTACCTAATCCCAGGGCTTCTGAAGCGAATTTACGATCGAAAGCCCAAATTGGGGATATATTGAAGATGGGCGAAATAAGGTGTACCTTAATGTTCGTCGGAGCATGGAGATTAGAGAGGTGTGTCCGGATCGTGCCAAATGAGAGTCCGTATTCTCTGTTTACACCTCTGGGCGACAGGCGTGAGTGTTTATGTGAAAATTCGAAGGGGGCGTACAGCCCTTAGACCAGATAAAGGTCTAAGGGCTGTACGCCTCCTTTAAATTATTATAATAATGGCCTCCAGACTGAATATCGGTCACGGCGGCCAGTCTTAAGGAAAACTAATGATCAAACAAAGTTACACACTCTATTCCCAACCTCTCATAGTCCGAACAGCAACCCGGCATAGCCGGAGAGACATCACGCGCAGGCGCAGGGGCTTTACGTACTTTGCCAGGGGTGAAACAACGCACAATTTTTGACTCCGGGCTGCTACTGAGTATTTCTTGACAAAAAAACCCAATAACTGATCTTGGCCCGACCCAAGATTCGAACCCGGGACATTCGTACATTCGTACTTACAACCACTAAACCAACGAGGTCAAGTCAAGTAATAATACTTGTGCAATGCGACATGAGCATATCTCATTATAGGGGAGATTTGCCCTAGTATTTGGACATTGCTATATTTTCCCGTAGTTAACTTTTGGGACACCAGTGATGATGCGGTGTGATGTGTGTGTTGTGCGCCTTTAGTTCTTTAACTTACGAATTACTTCTGCTGGACATTGGTTTTTCCATTGTGAGAAAGATTTATCATAATTGGCACGCTTGGCAAACGGTTTGTCGATCGCAGAACCATATATCTTGCAGTGCCCTATATCTTGAAGTACCTTATTATGTCTTACACCTTTGATGGAAATTTTCATTTCCAGCATGGTTTACACTACTAGGTGGTGACAACGGTATTTGTCGCAAGCTATGAGATTTTTGTCTTGTTTTCCACAGTCGCCTCTTACAGTAACCACGGCACGAAATGGAGTGATGTACCATATGGTATATAGGTGTATTATGCCACCACCACACGAGTATACGTCTTTACTACCCAGGAATAATTCAAACTTTAGAATATACACTTTCAAAATTTTCCGAAGATTATCGAAAAACTATTAAAAAACAAAAATGTTTATCACACAGTAATTCATGACATAAACATACCTGAATAATGTCTTTGATGTAGGCCTCAGCTCTTTCCCAAGATCCTAAATCGACTACTTTCTCGTTTGGAAGATTTCCTGAAAGATATTTAATAAAAAACAAACTATATTTTTATAGAATTAGGATAACAAACGAGCATACAGTTCAACTCGTGGTAAATGGATGCCGTAACCCTTATACATCTACACCATCCTCGATTAAGTATCAAAATGAAGATGCTTTGTCACCCCAAAGTACTAAGATGGTATGCCCCGTTTCCAATGAAAAGGGTATCCGGTTCTCTACATTTACCATACGAAACACAGCAGCTATTAAGCCATTAAGCTGCTATTTCACGCTTATATTCTTTAAGGTCGTGGTCCTTCCCCGGTCGTGCCGACCCGTTTGTGGTACAACCATGCATGACACTACCACGTAACTTTTTAACATATCAAAAGATAAGTGTTTATAGCAGGAGTACTATATAATAAAATAACCAAAATTTTATAAAAATGTTCAATAACTTTACAATAACATATAATTTTAATTTACTTATTGAAGCACTTTGTACTACTGTTTTAAAGGGTGCGGTAAAAGAGAGGTGTAAGGGTGTCGTGGCGGAAGCAAGGAAGGGTTATGTCGGATGATATTTCACCTTTACTGTATCTATACAAGGACCTATAATATAAACAACAGTTTAACAGTGGTAGAGCCACGCGGCACCTTTTGCTGTCGCACGGATGGGCCGGCTCGAACCGGGGTGGTACCACGACCTCACAGAAAACCAGCGTGAAGTAAACGCAGAGGTTTACCTCTGCGTTTCGCTTGGTGAGCGCAGGTGGCCGGAGGCCCTTTTTACTGGAAATGAGGCATTCCATCTTAGTCCTCACGGGTGACAACGCATCTACATTTTGATTTGTAATAGAGGATAGATGTAGATGTCTATGGGCCGCAGCAACCACTTACCATCAGGTGGACTGTGTGCTCGTTTGTCACCCTTATCCTATAAAAAAAAAGAAGCGTCAGTAGCCTAATGGCAGGGCGCGGACCGCGAACTCGAAAGGTCGCGGGTTCGAATCCGATATTCGAATACTGTCGTGAACCACTTCTAACACAAGCATTTTAAGCTTACCAAAGTGGTTAAAGGAAATATTAGTAATGTTTAATAGCATTACTAGTATATTTTAAAAGAAATAAAAAGACCCATGGACTACCGTAATGTCATGATGATGTTATTATCTTCGGTGATATTTCTATTAAGGAAGGAGAATTGGTTACTCCTACAGAAGAAAAATTTGACTTAAAAAAAAGTGAAGCTGACTTTCAAGAACTAAAAATAATAAAATAATTTTCACATAATAACTACAGTAGTCGGAGCTAAGTATACTCGTAGGATAGGCCCCGACTTCAAAAGATATTATGATGAAATAATTTTTATTATTTTATTAACTCTTTGAAAATTTTATTACTTCTTTGAAGTCGGCTTTCATTTTTTTTTTGTTAAAATTCTAATGGTTTTACCCCTTTGAGTTGACTTAGGAATATCACAAGATGGAATGTCGTCTAAATAGTTACATTAAAAATTTTCCACTATTTTGCCACCCTAGAGCCTTCCTTAGACCATCCTTAAAATATAACCTACTTAATTTTAATATAAATCTTTATAGTTGGTTAACAATTGACAAAGATATCGCGTAACATACATACAAATAAACTTCAGTTGAATGAATTAGATTCAATTATCTACTTATTTAAAAAATACATACCTCTACAAGCTTCGGTGGCGATCACAAAGAGTTCTGGATATCTCCTTTGCAAATTCTTGAGGACCTGAACGGGAGTGCTCGTGTCGTAGTAAAAGTGAAGTGCTATGCCATCGATATAGTCCAACACCTCTGGATAATTATTTATAATCTGGCGAATAAAACAAATTAGTGTTAGTGTACTTTGCCTTCTTTAGCTACATCACCACTAACCATCAGGTGTGATATTAATCAAGTTCTAGCTTATAATAGTTGGAAAAGTATCTTCTTAGTAATAGATTAACTGCTAACCCTGGACACCCTTAAGTAATTTCAAACAAAAATGCAACAAATGCGTTGCCACTCCTGATGACTGTGATGGAATGACTCTTAGCCTGTTATTATACGAGCTCTCTTAACCTTGAAACACAACAGCACACACACTGCTGCTTGACGGCAGAAATAGGTAAAAATGTGGCGTCAGTCCACGCGGATTCTATGCTAGAAAAAAAGCCCAACCAACGAGAATGTAGAAAGAAAGCGCTTTAAAGTTTTCTTTCTTATATTGAAATACAAAGTTAAAGTTATACGTAGTCCTTCCTTATTATGTTATATTATATAAATGATCTTTTTTGTTTTTTTTTTATAGTATAGGGTGACATACGTGCACACAGTCCACCTGATGGTAAGTGGTTGCTGTGACCCATAGACATCAACATCCATCTGCGATTACGAATCAAAATGCAGATGCGTTGTCGCAACAAAGATGGAATGCCTCGTTTCCAGTAAAAAGGATTTCCGGTTCTCTATACTCACCATACGGAACACAGCAGCGTTAAGCTGCTATTTAACGCTGGTATTCTGTGAGAGCGTAGTCCTTACCCAGTCGAGCTGACCCATTCGTGCTGCAACCATAATATAGCTGCAGCATGGCTCTACCACGTATAAGTTGCAATATTTTATACCTTTATTGTTTCCATATTGGATTTAGAGTCACTTACACGGACTAGTCAATTTACTTAGTGGTAGGACTCCCTTTCTGTCCCAAGAGTCTCTCTTATCTATTGCTGCCACCAAATGTAACATGCACTGCTATGTTCTCTAAAGTAAAGACTAAAGAGAAAAGTGGCTTATAGAGTATCTACGAGCTGTTGTAGCTCAGGTGTATTCCCAGTTCTATCCACGTCGATACCAATGAAATTGTTAATTGTAACAATTTTAAGGCCACCGCTGACACCACGCTTGACAACAGCTGCGAGCCTCGTACTATAAACATCTTTGCTTGCGCAGATAAGCGACGTGCGTTACTCAAATTGCGATTCTTATGCGACAGTCGCTATTGCGAGACGTTTTCTGCCGACTTCCAAAAAGGAGACGGTACTCAATTCGACTGTATGTTTTTTTATGTGTGTTACCACATACCTTTTTACTGGGTCAACTGATTTCGATGATTCTTTTTTTATATGAAAGCTGATACTTCTCATGTGGTCCCATTTTTTTTTCTATAGGATCGGGTGACAAACGAGCACACAGTCCACCTGATGGTAAGTGGTTGCTGTGGCCCATAGACATCTACATCTATCCTCAATAAAGACTCAAGATGCAGATGCGTTGTCACCCGTGAGGACTAAGATTGAATGCCTCTTTGCCAGTAAAAAGGGTCTCCGGTTCTCTACACTCACCATACGAAACACAGCAGCGTTAAGCTGCTATTTTACGCTGGTTTTCTGTGAGAGCGTGGTCCTTCCCCGGTCGAGCCGACCCATTCGTGCTACAACCATAATATAGCTGCAGCATGGCTCTACCACGTAGAAATTATGAATATATGAATTTGATCAAGGTCAGACCAATAGTTTTTGAGTTATTTGAGTTATTCTTAATAACTTATATGGAAGTCGGCTGTACAAAATTTTTAATTTTTAATTATTTAGCGTACAATATAGATTATTTCTTACGTCATAGAAGTCACTGGAGATCGTATACCGCTGATCATCCAGCGCAAGGATTTTTGTATCTTTAAATGTTGAATTGCGAATCGTCGGTCCCAGATTTTCTGCTATAAATTTACCCTGAAATAAATCGATATCTTATTTACACAATGGGTCCTACAAAAAAATTTATATTATATATACGTGAATTTATGATCTTACTCTAAGATAAAAATAAATTTCAAAGAATATTATTTTTTTAATTTATTATTTTTTCATTAAAATTGAATAATATAACTTTGAAATAAATATGTCGGTACGATACGCACGCTACCTACTGTAATTTAATTATACTATGACTACAAGTTCCGCACAAGTGCAAGCAATAAGTTGACAAAGTTTTAGCGCAATCTGATGAACGGTATGGCAACGCATAAAATTCGAACAAACAAATATTAATTTTTATATATTAGGTATGGTATTAAATCATATAAAAAATAAATACAAATAAATAAAATTGAAGTGTCTGTTTGTAATATCAAAATTACAGCTTTTTACTAAATGCATATGAAAGTATATACGGTACTAATAACAAAAATACAATTTTTAAAGTTTTTGTCTGTCTGTCTGTCTGTTTGTTCTGTAATCTCCGAAACGGCTGGACCGATTTTGACGGGATTTTCACTGGCAGCTAGCGGATGTCACAAGGAGTAACTTAGGCTGCTTTTATTTCAGAAAAAGAATTAGGGTTCCGCGCAAAAAAATTAAAAGCCCAAAAAACACGCGGGCGAAGTCGCGGGGAACAGCTAGTATAATAATAAACCGTACGCCACCGTAAAAACATTCACTACCCCATATTGTCTCATGGATGTCGCTAGTGGTGACAGAGGGAAACAAACCAGTAGATGGGCGGCAGCGTCTTCCCGGTAATGACTCAAAAAATAAAAACTATGGTTTCTTTCAAGGTAATGGAACACTCACCAAATCACTTTTATTTTATAGAACTCCACATCAAATCATTTCATATCAAAGACAGTGCAATTGAAATATTATAATATAATTCTCGCTAACTACCTACGTATCTACATAACAGTAATGGGTTCTTCTCATCACCATATTTTGCGCTATTTTAAAATAATATTAGTACGTAAGTGTCAAATTATTTAATAAGCAAAACATATAATTTAGGCATCTATTGCGAATTTCTCCCTTATGAGGCATTCTATGGGAGATGCCTATGTTTCACAGTGGACTCTTGATAAGCTGTAACAAAGTAAGTGAAATGTGACAAATAGGGAATGTAGTGATGGAAAAAGTGTTCTTACCATTTGTTTCGCAGTAAATCCAATGCAGCTCTTGGCTGGTAAATTAGTGAAAGCCATTGTTGGTTCATTAGTCGTCGTGATTCCCCAAACTGGAACACCTTCCGCAGCGTATTCTTCTAAAAATCTAAACAATTGTTAAAACTCAGCTCTACAAACTAAAAGATACATATTTTTTGTTTGGCAGAGACACGCTACAGCTGTACTATAACTGCAGCATGAATGGATCGGTTCGACGAGAAAAGATTCTTCTGTGTTCCGTATGGCGAGCGAACCAGAGAACTTTTCTTACTGGAAACTAGAATCCATTGAATATTAGACCTTAGGGATGATAACGCGTTTGCATTTTGATTCTCAATCACAGATGTAGGTATAGGTGTAGCTGTAGGTGTATATGAGTGAGTCACTTACCAATAGGTGGGCTGTGAAATTAAATAAATGAACTCACCGTTCATGGCGTGTATTAGCGGTGTAAGAATATCCACTACCCCAAATCGTTCCATATGTATCTTAAGAGGTAACAGAGGAAAAAGGGAAAGCATAAAATGGGCAGCAGCGTCTAGTTACAACTAAAAAAAACCTGTGTTTGTCAGCTAACCTGCCAAGCGTGGTGACTATGACAAATACCCCTCTCCCCCTATGAAGCAATCTATAGAGGAGGCCTATGGTCAGCAGTGGACTTTTGATAGGCTGTAACGGAACATCTAAGAGGCGGAAGTCTGTGGTTGTTAAAACGCTCGCGAAGCGAATTTCACAAAACATAATTGAAGTTAAAACTTACACTATGCTACCTATGTTGCCTTATTAATGAACTGAAATAAAACATGTAACTGTCGCTCAAATCATAGACGAAAATACTAAAAGCGCATAAACTATAAATTAAGTTCTTTTTGAACGATTTGAAGCCAGCGCAGCGCCTGTACTATCTCATTCTCAATTGATGTTTGAAATTGTCAACAAACATCCAACGATGCTAAAGCGCACTTATATAGCTTAACAAAAGTCTGTTAACTCTTGTCTTGAAGACCCCCACATTGAAATGGGTTGGGAAGATTCATGCTGCCAAATTATTTCACTCTATTACTGTACGCATTACGAACGACGAAGCAAATCCCTTGAATGCGTGATATGTTGACAAATTGTAGTACAATTTTTGCGCAGACCCACATTCCTCGTCCCCCAATTAACTTTTTACAGATAGATGTCGATGATTGCTGATGGTGGTGATGATTAATAATAACAGTCCTTACTTCAAGTGATAATCAGCGTACGTCTGGTAGAATTCATTCTTCAGGTAACCACACGTGGGATTGTGCTCCGTATAGTACTTCATCCACTTGGGAGGTGACCAGGTAGAGGCGATGACGTGTACAGGTGACTTGGACACGTCCATCATTCTTTTTATTGTCGGTAACTGAAAATATGACAGATAGGAAAAGAAAATTATTTCATATTACAAAATTGCCATGTTGCGGCGGAGAATTATAATGCATCAGCTCCTTTCATCCTGAAGGTGTAATAAGAGGCAAATACCATATAGCTTCTTATAGAACGCGGTCTACTACAGCCTATAAAAGTCCACAGCTGAACATAGGCCTCCCCATAAATTACCGCATAGGGAGTTTTATTATAGTTGCCACGGTTTGCAAGCGGGCTAGCAACTGCAGTTTTTTTTTAATTTGAGTTGTTATCAGGAAGATGCTGCTGCCCATCACCTTGTTCAGTTTCCCCCTGTCGCCTCTTGTGACACTCCCGGCTACATCTCATTTACGCCAGGCATGAAACATCCATTACGGCGATGAGGCGCCGTGTCATAGGTGCAAGACGTCTAGAACTGTGATCGTCATTCCGTCCGCCAAGTGTCGCTATTAAAGCAAATTATCCCTGTAACTGGAGATGTTCATATCCACCAGCAGATTTTTATGAGCTGATGATCTAAAATGAAAAGGAGTAAAGAAGATTAAATTTTCATGTAAACTTACAAATAGATCCTTCTTGCCCTCTGATCGGACCGTTTAGTGGTAAGTATATTCACGACCCCATAACATCCCGGGGTGTCGAAAGAGGCGACAGAGGAAAACTTAAACACAAGATGGGCACCAACAATTTCCTGATAACAGTGAACAGTACCAGTAAGTCCAGTCCGGCCGCCTACGAGGCAACTTTGACATATATGAGAAAATCTGTAGAATAGAATAGAATAATTTTTAATTCAATATTGATTATTACATAATACTTATTGAAAGTTTTTATTTATGTGTGTAATGTTAACAATCAGAATTATGTTTGGTTTTGTGTCAATTTATTAGTATAGTGGATTAGTTTCTGATTCTGTATTTTTTGCATGCCTACTAGTCAAATATGGCTTAACTCACTACCTATATCATCATGTACTGTACCCATATTTGCAAAATAAAACATCTTTATCTTTATCTACACCACTGGTTCGTAAAATACCTCTGTCCTGGAAAGAACCAGAAAGAAACCCAGCGGGACTATTTTTTAAACATATTTCATTCAACAATAATTTTGTTTGTACAATTTTTAAATGAACTTTCATAGAACCAGCATGGTGGCGATCACCTTATTCCCAGGGATTATTTTCATTCATGTATTCCTTAATATTATAATGATAACTTGTATATTGACAAACTTTGAACATGTTCTGGGATTTTGTTGCAAAACGTATACATTGCCCCTTAAACGGTTCCCTGATTCTGTGGAGTCTATCTAGTAACTGGTATTACAAGCTTCTGTTTGTTCCTAGTGTTCAAAGTATGTACATCTTTATTCTTATTAAAGCTATTTATGTTTTTATGTACATACATTACATTTTCATAAATTTATTGCGATACCAAAGTTAATATGTTTAATTCTTGAAATTTTTCTCTGAGAGACTCTTTACAATTTAAGGTATAAATCGCCCGTACGGTTCTCTTGTCGCATTACCCCATAGCAAAATTCCATAAGCCATTACGGTACGATAGTAACTAAAATCAACTAATCAACATCTGTGAGATGTATCATTTGTGATGATCAAAAATCAGTGAGATTTCTAATCTTTTTTACAGCATATGCTGCAGAACTAAGGCTGCTTGCTAATTTAGATAACCCCCTCTAAAGACTCATAAAATGTAGGCAGATACAAAGCAACCAGTCAAGAGCTTGCGCAGCTTTAGACATTGGAATTTGTACCGTTCTTATTACAATCGCCAAAGAGGTAAAGCTCACAATAGAAGTGTAAAACTTCACATGCTTTTGCACCTACACTTTTCTATCCTATATATATATATATATATATATATATATATATATATATATATATATATATATATATATATATATGATAGAAAAGTGTGTATATATATGTATATATATATCATCTAGTGAGATGGAGTTAAAACTTGTTAAGAGGTGCAGGAAGTCTCAGGACCGTTCATTGCATTCCTTGGTCCCCCAAGTTATGCTCAGCTTATGTTAAGCTTATGTTCAGCAGAGGGCTTGTAAAGAGCTGTCATAATAATAATATTTACTATCTAGTTATATCGCCTCAATCCGTCCCTGGCTCGATATTCCAAACCGCCACATCAGCACATGCTTGAGAACTTGAGTGATAATTCTAAAGTAATGTAAGACGATATGATAATTGTACTAGACTTATTTTATTAACATTTAATATGCATTCATTCTGTAACTACCTTCGAAAGAACATTAAATCATTTTATACTTTAAATTGTGTTTTTAAAAAGACTGTCGAGGTTCATCGCAATTTAAGTGGCGCAGCCGGTAGGATATCCGTATATATTCTGCTGTGGTGCTAACGCCTTTCGGACCCCAAAATCGGTTTAAGCGTCAGTATAGCAGTCAGGTTCGGATATCCTCGAACCAAACAAATAACTCCCGCGACACGCGCGCTATCGTTTCCAAATCAATCGATTACGCGCATTGGATCATCGGCAGTATCGAAGTGGTCAGAATCAACTGGAGGACATGGGATTGAACATACTGTGAGTAAACCTCTTCACCTCCTGTTTACATTTATCCCATTATTTTCCGCATTTTCCGGACTAAAATCGTCGGGCCAAATTATTTGCAATTATCTGATTTTGTTGGCACAAAATAGGCCGATAATATTCTTGCTAATAGTTTAAGTTAGATTAAGTAAGATAGTTTAAATAAAAAGTAACTGTTATTCCAGCACATATTTTAGACTTGATTCCTAGATACGATGGAGATGAAAAATTACTTAATTTATTCATCTCAAAATGTGAATATGTTTTGTTAAATTCAGGAGGCGATAATACTCCGATTCAAAATTTATATAGATTCCATGCTATAAGTAGTAAGCTTAGTGGTAGAGCTGCGACTCTACTTAGTGATAACCCTAGTTTAAATACGTGGGAGGATTTGAAAGAAATTTTGACCCAGCATTTCGGCGACCCCCGTTCAGAGGAATGTATTGCTATCGAACTAGAATCGCTAAAAATCAAACAAGGAGAGTCATTTATTCAGTTTTGTACTAGAATACAAAATGTAAAAAGTTCTTTATTCGCTAAAGTCCAAAGACATTGTGATGAAGGAATAAAGGCAGCCAAAGTGATTATATATAATAATACCGCTTTGAACGTATTTTTGTACAATTTACCCGAAGACCTTATTAGAATTGTCCGACTCAAAGGCTGTTCTACTTTAGAGATCGCTTTAAGTATAGTCACAGAGGAAATTAACTTCTTAGCTCAGTATAACGCCAAAAACAATAAAGCCAAACCAGTTCAGCAATTAGCTCTGCAAAGTTTCGTGAGACCAACTGCATTTATAAATTCGAATTTGACACCAAACAATAATAATCATCATCATCATCATCATTACAGCCCTTCACAAGTCCACTGCTGAACATAGGCCTCCCCCAAAGAATGCCACAAAGCACGGTCCTGAGCCACCTGCATCCATCGACTTCCTGCATATCTTACCAGGTCGTCACTCCATCTAGTGGGGGGACGTCCTACACTTCGCCTGCCGGTACGAGGCTGCCACTCGAGAACCTTTCTTCCCCATCGGTTGTCGGTTCTTCGAGCTATATGGCCGGCCCATTGCCACTTCAGCTTACTAATCCGTTGGGCTATGTCGGTCACTCTAGTTCTACTGCGGATATCCTCATTTCTGAGTTTATCACGCAGAGAAACTCCGAGCATAGCCCTCTCCATAGCTCGCTGAGCGACCTTGAGCTTCCTCATCCGGCCAGCAGTGAAGGACCACGTCTCAGTTCCGTATGTCATCACTGGCAACACGCACTGGGTGTACAGTCTCGTTTTCAAGTTTTGAGGTATACCTGACAATAATAATAATAATAGTAATTTCAAGTTTGGTGTACCCAATAACCAGATAGGATATAGGCCTAATTTGATGCATACGAATAAATTCACAGCACCTCAACAAAGCTACCATTTTGCATCACCACAAAATTCAATGCCACGTAATTTCAATCATCAATTTACCCAACAACCACGAGCACCATTCCAAGTTGGTGGATTTAAATTTGGCATTCCCCAACATCAAGCTCAAAAATACGGCATGCAGAATCAACAACAGCCTAATCAGTTTAAATACGGCTTTCAACAACAGCCTAATTAATTTAAATACGGCTTTCAACAACAGCCTAATCAATTTAAATACGGCATACAACAGCAACCCAACCAATTCAAATTCGGCATACAAAATCAACCGCCCAAAAACGTTTACGATACTGACGTATCTATGCGTACCGCACCAATTAGGCAAAACATGACGACGAACGATTTGTTTTTTAGCGAGGAACCTTCAACATCATGTCAAGATTTCTCTCACGATAATAATGACGGTTACTACTACGACCACTATGATGGTTTTGTAGAAGACCCTTCATTTGAAGTTCAATACCTAGAAAATTTTAATGAAATTAATAATGAAGATAATGCAGTACCTGAAAATTTTCCGATAGTAGCTCTCGAAAGCCCTCCGAAATGATCCATCTTAATTATTGCGATAGCATTTTAAAATTACCTCATATAGTAATTCCCGAAATAAATTCGAAATTTCTAATAGATACCGGAAGCAGTAGATCCTTTATTAGTCCCGCCAAGGCTAACCAATATTTTGGCGAATTTAAATACAATGAACCTTTCACAGTTGTAAGTACCCATGCGCAAAGCTTGCACGATGAAATAATTTTTATACCGCTTTTAAAAACATTCAAAAGTACTCTTCCACATAAATTTTACATATACGATGTGGACGGTAGATACGACGGCCTTATTGGGTCAGACTTATTAAAAAAATTGGCAGCTAATATCGATATGAACCACCAAATTTTACGAACACCCAATACTGAAATCCCAATAATTTATAATCCACCTTATGAAATTAATATAGAACCAA